TTAATTATACTTTAAGTTCTGGGATACATGTGTAGAACATGCAGGTTTGTTACATAGGTATACATGTACCATAGTGGTTTGCTGCATCCATCAACGCGACATCTACATTAGGTATTTCTCCCTTCCCTTTCCCCCCGCTCCCTGACAGACCCTGGTGTGTTATGTCCCCCTCCCTGTGCCCATGTGTTCTGATTGTTCAACTCCCACTTATGAGCAAGAACATGCGGTGTTTAGTTTTCTGTTCCTGTGATAGTTTGCTGAGAATGATGGTTTTCAGCTTCATCCATATCCCTGCAAAGGACATGAACTCATTCTCTTTTATGGCTGCATAGTGTTCTGTGCTGTATATGTGCCACATTTTCTTAATCCAGTCTATCACTGATGGGCATTTAGGTTGGTTCCAAGTCTTTGCTATTGTGAATAGTGCTGCAATAAACACACATGTGCATGTGTCTTTATAGTAGAATGATTTATAATCCTTTGGGTATATACCCAGTAATGGGATTGCTGAGTCAAATGGTTTTTCTAGTTCTAGATCCTTGAGGAATTGCCACAGTGTGTTCCAATGGTTGAACTAATTTACACTCCCACCAACAGTGTAAAAGTGTTCCTATTTCTCCACATCCTCTTCAGCATCTGTTGTTTCCTGATTTTTTAATGACTGCCATTCTAACTGATGTGAGATGGTATCTCATTGTGGTTTTGATTTGCATTTCTCTAATGACCAGTGATGATAAGCTTTTATTCATGTTTGTTGACCACGTAAATGTCTTCTTTTGAGAAGTGTCTGTTCATATCCTTTGCCCACTTTCTGATGGGGTTGTTTGTATTTTTCTTGTAGATTTGTTTATGTTCCTTGTAGATTCTGGATATTAGCACTTTGTCAGATGGATATATTGCAAGAATTTTTCTCCCATTCTGTAGGTTGCCTGTTCACTCTGATGATAGTTTCTTTTGCTGTGCAGACACTCTTTAGTTTAATTAGATCCCATTTGTCAATTTTGGCTTTTGTTGCAATTGCTTTTGGTGTTTTAGTCATGAAGTCTTTGCCCATGCCTATGTCCTAAATGGTATTGCCTAGGTTTTCTTCTAGGGTTTTTATGGTTTTAGGTCTTAGTTTAAATCTCTAATCCATCTTGAGTTAATTTTTGTATAAGGTGTAAGAAAGGGATCCAGTTTCAGTTTTCTGCATATGGCTAGCGAGTTTTCCCAACACCATTTATTAAATAGGGAATCCTTTCCCCCTTGCTTGTTAAAGATCAGATGGTCAAAGATCAAATGGTTGTAGATGTGTGGTGTTATTTCTGAGGCCTCTGTTCTGTTCCATTGTTCTATATCTCTGTTTTGGTACCAGTACCATGCTGTTTTGGTTACTGTAGCCTTGCAATATAGTTTGAAGTCAGCGTGATGCTCCCAGCTTTGTTCTTTTTGCTTAGAATTGTCTTGGCAATGCGGGCTCTTTTTTGGTTCCATATGAAGTTTAAAGTAGTTTTTTCTAATTCTGTGATGAAAGTCAGTGGTAGCTTAATGGGTATAGCATTGAATCTGTAAATTACTTTGGGCAGTATGGTCATTTTCACAATATTGATTCTTCCTATGCATAAGCATGGAATGTTTTTCCATTTGTATGTGTCCTCTTTTATTTTGTTGAGCAGTGGCATGTAGTTCTCCTTGAAGAGGTTCTTCAGATCCCTTGTAAGTTGGATTCCTAGGTATTTTATTATCTTTGTAGCAATTGTGAATGGGAGTTCACTCATGATTTGGCTCTCTGTTTGTCTGTTAGTGGCGTATAGGAATGATTCTGATTTTTGCACATTATTTTGTATCCTGAGACTTTGCTGAAGTTGCTTATCAGCTTAAGGAGATTTGGGCTGAGATGATGGGGTTTTCTAAATATACAATCATGCCATCTGCAAACAGAGACAATTTGACTTCCTCTTTTCCTATTTGAATACCCTTTATTTCTTTCTCTTTCCTGATTCACCTAACCAGAACTTCCAATACTATGTTGAATAGGAGTGCTGAGAGGGGGCATCCTTGTCTTGTGATGGTTTTCAAAGGGAACGCTTCCAGCTTTTGCCCATTCAGTATGATACTGGCTGTGGGTTTGTCATGAATAGCTCTTATTATTTTGAGATATGTTCCACCAATACCTAGTTTATTGAGTGTTTTTAGCATGAAGGGTGTTGAATTTTATCAAAGGCCTTTTTTGCATCCATTGAGATAATTGTGGTTTTGGTCATTGGTTCTTTTTATGTGATGGATTACATTTATTGATTTGTGTGTGTTGAACCAGTCTTGCCTCGCAGGGATGAAGCCGACTTGATCTTGGTGGATAAGATTTTTAATGTGCTGCTGGATTCGGTTGGCCAGTATTTTATTGAGGATTTTCTCATCAATGTTCATCAGGGATATTGGCCTGAAATTTTCTTTTTTTGTGGTGTCTCTGCCAGGTTTTGGTATCAGGATGATGCTGGCCTCATGAAATGAGTCCCTCTTTTTCTATTGTTTGGAATAGTTTCAGAAGGAATGATACTGCCTCCTCTTTGTACCTCTGGTAGAATTTGACTGAATACATAGGGTCCTGGGCATTTTTTGTTGGTAGGCTATTAATTACTGTCTCTATTTCAGAACTTGTTATTGATCTATTCATGGATTTGACGTCTTCCTGGTTTAGTCTTAGGAGAGTGTATGTGCCCATGCATTCATCCATTTCTTCTAGATTTTCTAGTTTATTTGCATTGAGGTGTTTATAGTATTCTCTGATGGTAGTTTGTATTTCCGTGGGATCAGTGGTGATCTCCCCTTTATCGTTTTTTATTTTGTCTATTTGATTCTTCTCTCTTTTCTTTATTAGTCTGGCTAGCAGTCTTATCTATTTTGTTGATCTTTAAAAAAAAAACAGCTCCTGGTTTCATTGATTTTTTTTTTTTAAGAGTTTTTTGTGTCTTTATCTCCTTCAGTTCTACTCTGATCTTAGTTATTTCTTGTCTTCTGCTAGCTTTTGAATTTGTTTGCTCTTGCTTCTCTAGTTCTATTAACTGTGATGTTAGGGTGTCGATTTTAGATCTTTCCCATTTTCTGATGTGGGAATTTAGTGCTATAAATTTCCCTCGTAACAGTGTTTTAGCTGTGTCCCCGAGATTCTGGTACATTGTGTCTTTGTTCTCACTGGTTTCAAAGAACTCATTTATTTCTGCCTTAATTTCGTTAGTTACCCAGTAGTCATTCAGGAGCAGGTCCTTCAATTTCCATGTAGTTATGTAGATTTTAGTGAGTTTCTTAATGCTGAGTTCTAATTTGATTGCACTGTGGTCTGAGAGACTGTTTGTTGTGATTTCTGTTTCTTTGCATTTGTTGAGTGTTTTCCTTCCAATTATGTGGTCAATTTTAGAGTAAGTGGTGCTGATAAGAATGTATATTCTGTTGATTTGAGGTAGAGAGTGCTATAGATGTCTATTAGGTCTACTTGGTCCAGAGCTGAGTTCAAGTCCTGAATGTCCTTGTCAATTTTCTGTCTCATTAATCTGTCTAATATTGACAGTGGGTGTTAAAGTCTCCCACTATTATTATGTGGGAGTCTAAGTCTCTTTGTAGGTCTCTAAGAAGTTGGTTTATGAATCTGGGTGCTCTTGTATTGGGTGCATATATATTTAGGATAGTTAGCTCTACTTACATTGATCCCTTTACCATTATGTAATGCCCTTGTCTTTTTTGATCTTTGTTGGTTTAAAGTCTATTTTATCAGAGAGTAGGATTGCAACCCCTGCTTTTATTTTTTTTTTTATTTTTTGCTTTCCATTTGCTTGGTAAATATTCCTCCATCCCTTTATTTTGAGCCTATGTGTGTCTTTGCACATGAGATGGGTCTCCTGAATACAGCACACTAATGGGTCTTGACTCTTTATCCAATTTGACTATGTATCCAATTCATTCTCTGTGCCTTTTAATTGGGGCATTTAGCCCATGTACATTTAAAGTTAATATTGTTATGTGTGAATTTGATCCTGTCGTTATGATGCTAGCTGTTTATTTTGCCCATTAGTTGGTGCAGTTTTTTCAGTGTTGATGGTCTTTACATTTCGGTTTGTTTTTGCAGTGACTTGTACTGGTTTTTCCTTTCCATATTTAGTGCTTCCTTCAGGAGCTCTTGTAAGGCAGGCCTGGTAGTGACAAAATCCCTCAGCATTTGCTCATCTGTAAAGGATTTTATTTCTCCGTCACTTATGAAGCTTAGTTTGGCTGGATATAAAATTCTGGATTGAAACATTTTCTTTGAGAATGTTGAATACTGGCCCCCAATCTCTTCTGGTTTGTAGGGTTTCTGCAGAGAGATCTGCTGTTAGTCTGATGGGCTTCCCTTTGTGGGTAACCTCATCTTTCCGTCTGGCTGCCCTTAACATTTTTTCCTTCATTTCAACCTTGGTGAATCTGACGATAATGTGTCTTGGGGTTGCTCTTCTTGAGGAGTATCTTTGTGCTGTTCTCTGTATTTCCTGAATTTGAATGTCGGCCTGTCTTGCTGGGTTGGGGAAGTTTTCCTGGATAATATCCTGAAGTGTGTTTTCCAACTTGGTTCCTTTCTCCCACGTCACTTTCAGGTACACCAATCAAATGTAGGTTTGGTCTTTTCACATAGTCCCATATTTCTTGGAGACTTTGTTTGTTCCTTTCATTCTTTTTTCTCTAATCTTGTCTTCATGCTTTATTTCATTAAGTTGATCTTCAATCTCTGATATCCTTTCTTCCACCCGATCAATTCGGTTGTTGATACTTGTGTATGCTTCTCAAAGTTCTCATGCTGTGTTTTTCAGCTTCATCGGGTCATTTATGTTCTTCTCTAAATTGTTTATTCTAGTTAGCAATTCGTCTAACCTTTCATCAAAGTTCTTAACTTCCTTGCATTGGGTTAGAGCATGATCCTTTAACTCAGAGGAGTTTGTTATTACCCACCTTCTGCAGCCTACTTCTGTCATTTTGTCAAACTCATTCTCCATCCAGTTTTGTTCCCTTGCTGGTGAGGAGTTGTGATCCTTTGGAGGAGAAGAGGTATTCTGGTTTTTGGAATTTTCAGCCTTTTTGTGCTGGTTTTTCCTCATCTTCATGGATTTATCTACCTTTGGTCTTTGATGCTGGTGACTTTCAGATGGAGTTTTTGTGTGGTTGTCCTTTTTGTTGATGTTGATGCTATTGCTTTCTGTTTATTGGTTTTCCTTCTAATCAGGCCCCTCTTCTGCAGTTCTGCTAGAGTTTGCTGGGGGTCCACCCCAGACCCTGTTTGCCTGGGTATCACCAGCAGAGGCTGCAGAACAGCAAGATTTCTGCCTGTTCCTTCCTCTGGAAGCTTTATCCCAGAGGGGCACCCACCAGATGCCAGTTGGAGCTCTCCTGTATGAGGTGTCTGTTGACCCCTGCTGGGAGGTGTCTCCACATCAGGAGGCTCAGGGGTCAGGGACCCACTTGAGGAGGCTGTCTGTCCCTTAACAGAGCTTGATCACTGTGCTGGGAGATTCATTGCTCTCTTCAGAGCTGGCAGGCAGTACTGTTTAAGTCTGCTGAAGCTGTGCCCACATCCGCCCCTTCCCCCAGGTGCTCTGTTCCAGGGAGATGGGAGTTTGATCTATAAGCCCCTGACTAGGGCTGCTGCCTTTCTTTCAGAGATGCCCTGCCCAGTGAGGAGGAATCTAGAGAGGCAGTCTGGCCACAGTGGCTTTGCGGGGCTGTGGTGGGCTCTTCCCAGTCCGAACTTCCTGGAGGCTTTGTTTACACTGTGAGGGGAAACTGCCTACTCAATCCTCAGTAATGGTGGATTCCCCTCCCCCGACCAAGCTCGAGCATCCCAGGTCAACTCCAGACTGCTGTGCTGGCAGTGAGAATTTCAGGCCAGCGGATCTCAGCCTGCTGGGCTCCGTGGAGGTGGGATCCGCTAAGTAAGACCACTTGGCTCCATGGCTTCAGCCCCCTTTCCAGGGGAGTGAATGATTCGGTCTCGCTGGTGTTCCAGGCGCCACTGGTGTACAAAATGAAACTCCTGCAGCTAGCTCGGTATCTGCCCAAACGGCTGCCCAGTTTTGTGCTTGAAACCCAAGGCCCTTGTGGTATAGGCACCGGAGGGAATCTCCTGGTCTGTGGGTTGCAAAGACCCTGGGAAAAGCATAGTATCTGGGCTAGATAGCACCGTCCCTCACGGCACCGTCCCTTATGGCTTCCCTTGGGTAGGGGAGGGAGTTCCCTGATCCCTTGTGCTTCCCAGGTGAGGCAACTCCCCACCCTGCTTCTGCTCACCCTCCTTGGGCTGTACCCACTGTCTAACCAGTCCCAGTGAGATGAGCCACATACCTAAGTTGGAAATGCAGAAACCACCCGCCTTCTGTGTTGATCTCGCTGGGAGCTGCAGACCGGAGCTGTTCCTATTCAGCCAACTTGCCCAGGAATCAGTTTTCTGTTTGTTTGTTTGTTTGTTCGTTTGTTTGTTTGTTTGTTTTTGAGATGGAGTCTCGTCCTGCCACCCAGGCTGGAGTATAATGGCACGATCTCAGCTCACTTCAACCTCTGCCTCCTGGGTTCAAGCGATTCTCCTGCCTCATCCTCATGAGTAGCTGGGATTACAGGTGTCTACCACCACTCCCTCTAATTTTTGTATTTTTAGTAGAAATGGGGTTTCACCATGTTGGCCAGGCTGGTCTCAAACTCCTGACCTCATGATCCACCTGCCTCAGCCTCCCAAATTGCTAGGATTACTGACATAAGCCACTGGCACCCAGCCGTAAGGAGAGGTTTTAAGAGAACTTAAAAACAGAAAATGTTAAGTGATATGTTATTGTTTTATGCTATTGAAACTGTCTTATAGGAAAGTATTATCTTTCTTTACCTTTGTCTGCCCTTTTACCTCCTACTTTCAGCTCCTAAAAATTATATTAAATTAATCAAATAGGATAAAAGTCTTATACTTTTAAGCTTATAATGCATTGTGCTAAAGTCAGCCCTCTGTCTCCGTAGGTTCCATAGCTATGGATTCCACGAAACATGGACAAAAATATTCAGGAAAGAATAAACTAACAATACTACTATTTTAAAATACACATTTTAAAATACAATATAACAATTGTTTACATAGCATTTATATGTTATCAAGTATTACAAGTAATACAGAGATTACTTAAATTATACTGAAGGATGGCACGGTTATGTACAAGTACTACGCCATTTTGTATAACGGACTTGAGCATCCATGGTGTTCTCACTGCTTCTAATTTTTTCATTAGGACATTCTCATGGAAACAGGATTCATAATATTCCCATGTCCCCAACCCAGCCTTTTTCTGAAAATACATAGTTATAGATGGTGTCTTAGAAGATGTGCTTTACGGGGCCGGGCGTGGTGGCTCACACCTATAATCCCAGCACTTTGGGAGGCTGACGTGGGTGGATCACTTGAGGTCAGGAGTTTGAGACCAGCCTGGCCAACATAGTGAAACCCCATCTCTACTAAAAATACAAAAATTAGCCGGGCGTGGTGGCATTGCCTGTCGTCCCTGCTACTTGGGAGACTGAGGCATGAGAATTGCTTGAACCCGGGAGGCAGAGGCTGCAGTGAGCCGAGATGGTGCCACTGTACTCCAGCCTGCGTGATGGAGTGAGACTGTCTCAAAAAAAAGAAAAGAAAAGAAGATATGCTTTTAAAAGTCTAATTCTGCTGTATTACTGTAGCTAATGTGCTCTCTGCATTTCTTTTTTTTTTCAGTATTTTCATGTTCCAGACAGTGCTACTTTTAGCATTTGCCCAGGTGGAGAGCAGCCTGCTATGAAATCCAGCTCCCTTCCTTGCTGGGACTTGATGCCTGCCATTAGTCAGTCAGTGCTGGATGCATCCCTGCTTCAGAAACAGATCATGCTGGGCTTTTCTCCTGCCCCAGGTGCTGACAGCTCACAGTGCTGGAGTCTGCCAGCTATAGTTAGACCAGAGTTTCCCAGACAGAGTGTGGCAGTACCCCTTGGGAATTTCCAGGAAAATGGATTCTGTACCAGGTATTTTATGTTTGTATAAATGTCTTTCTTCTTTGCTTGTCAGTCTAGCTGTTCATCTAGATGCCGAGAGAGAGAATGGTGGTAGTGCTCCCCATATGTAATACTAGGCTTTATTTTTAATGACTTCTAGACATTGTATACAGTCAGTCAAGTGTTGTGATCACATATGGCTTGTCCCAGCGTACTACTTAAGAGATTTTTCCCCTTATGGAGCTTACGCTGGGGGGAAATGATGGTACTTGTACCACAGAATGTCATTATATGAAAAGATCATATGTATGATCATACAAATAGCATCGTATGAAAAGATCATATCATAATGAAAAAATTACCTGTTGTGAGTTCTTAGCCTCCATAAAATTATAGGAAATAAGGGTTAAAATATGAGCAAGTCAAGTTGGAAAACCTTTTTCTTTTCCCATATTTTACTTTACTTCAAAATGGAATTTTTCTCAAAAAGTCATTAAGAGAGATAACTTAGATAAACACAAGTCACAGAAGACTCTGTTCTGTGGTTGTTCCTGCACGCAAGTTGCTCCAATGACCGATTACCAGTTATGCAAATAACAACCACAGAATCAAGCCAGAGATGTATAATGGTTTGTTCATACTGGACTTCTATTATTTGGTTGTTTTGCATGTAAAATGTCCCTTCTGCAGCTCTCAAGAATAACTTATTTATAGTATATATAACAGCTGCAAAAGAAAACATATTGTGCCGTTATGAGAAGTACCTTATTTTCATGATTATGAATTTATAGGCTTTGAGATTTTAGCAATGCTAACTCTTTTGATATAACATTTTAAAAGACAAGAGAGATTTATAATAGTAATATTTTAAATAAGTTATTCATAATGGCAAGGTTCTGTTCTTCACACATCCCTCCTTCTTTCACAGTATTCACAAAATCCTTGATTTTACAAACATGTGTCATCTCTTACACTGTAGAGGAGTGGTTATCCTTACATTCTGGTTGGAGATGTTAAGCATAGTGAGTTTAAGGGTGTTTTTGAAAGTTATATGAACTTATGTCTATAAACAAAACATTTTTTAAAAAACAAAATTTGAAACTAAACTTAATTTGGAAATTAAGCTTAAAATTCTGATAATTACAGTATAATTTAATCTTATCTATAAATACTAAGCTAGATATTGGACAGAAAGTACCATACTTGAGTCCTGGCCCCAGCCTTCTTGGCTATCAAAAAGAAATTATCTGAGGTTGGCTCGTGTAGCTCTTTTAAAATTAGGCTGGGAAAGGAACTTTGCTGTTTATCCAAGAACTGTACTCTGAAAATGAATTTATTTCGTGCTGTCCCATCTCCTCATCTATTTCCTTCCCTCAATTCAACCAATAGCACACATTAGATGGTGGTATTAATGTGCTTTTACCAAATGCTAACGGACCATTCACTTTGACATTTCACACAAATACAATCTTTGGGAAGTACTCACACTGGCAAATAAGATGGATGGCAAATGGAAGCTTTTTAGAGCATTATTGACCCCTTTCAGTCAGCTGAGGGCCACATTTGGCAAATTATCTGATTTCTTTGATTAATTTTGACAATCATTCCATGTAATTTAGGCTTCAGGGTAATTTTTTTTTCCTGCTTCAATGAAATATTCTTTGTGGTAGTCTGTAGTCTAAATAGGAAAATTTCTCTCTCTTCATCACAGAAGGCAACCTGTACTCACACAGTTGGTTTTCTAACTCCAAATAATACAGCTTTGCTCCTGCTAATCAAAATGTACATTTTTTAAGGTGTGATGGGCTTATGGAAATTGACAGCAAACATTATCAGCCCGCCTACCTTTAGAAAAAAGAGCAAGCACCCAAATTCTCTAGTAGTCCTTTGAAAAGCAGGTCAGCTCTTTTTTTTTTTTTTTTTTTTTTGATACAGGGTCTTGCTCTGTCGCCCAGGCTCGAGTGCAGTGGCACAATCATGGCTCACTGCATCCTCAACCTCCCAGGCTTAAGCCAACCTCCCAGGCTCCAGCCATCCTCCTCCCACCTCAGCCTTCCAAGTAGCCGGGTGTGCACCACCGCACCTGGCTAATTTTTGTATTTTGCTGTAGAGATGGGGTTTTGCCCTTTTGCTGAAGCTGGTCTTGAACTCCTGGGCTCAGGCAATCCTCCTGCCTTGGCTCCCAAAGTGCTGGGATTATAGGCTGAGCCACCATGCAGACTACCAAGCACTTTTAAGGAAGAAGAAGGTACCCTGCCTGGCTAAGGAGTTTAACACACATATGCATTGGGGGGAAAAAGAACAACAGGAAATATTAGCACAAGGTTAGCTATAGTTCTCTCTGGATGATAGAATTATTTTGTTTGCCTTTAAGTATGTTTTCACATTTTATGAATATTATAAATATGTTACTATTGTCAGAAAAGAAAGCTCCCCTGAGTTATAAAAGAGATATTTTCAAGTTCTGAATGTTGCAAATTAAATAAACATGTTCCAGGAGAGAAAGCATTCATTTTTTTTCCTAAGCATATCTGTCATGTGACTTGATTCTGTTCTAGGGCTATAGTGCTGACATATCAAGAACACCTTGGAGTGACTTACTTAACCCTCTCAGAAGACCCTAGTCCTCGAGTAATTATCCACAACAGATGTCCAGTAACAGTGCTTATAAAGGAAAACATTAAAGGTATGTTTTATAATGTCGAATTTAGATAATACTAAATGTGTATTTTTTTTCTGGGGTTTTTTGGTTTAGTAGTTACCTGTGATCCTGTGAAAAAAATATTTAAATAGATGTATTAATCATCTCTTTTTGAGAAGTTTCTTTTGCCACATTATGTTTACTGTCCCCCAAGTCTCTGTCTTTAAGGGCTAATTCTGATATGCCTTTTTTTAAATTTCAGATATTCCAAAGTTTGAGGTTTATTGCAAAAAAATTCCCTCCGAGTGCTCAATTCATCATGAGCTGTATCATCAGATTTCCAGTTATCCGGACTGCAAGACCAAAGACTTACTTCCGAGCCTCCTTTTGAGAGTTGAACTGCTAGATGAAGTAACAACTGAGTGGAGTGATGCCATCGACATCAACAGTCAGGGAACACAGGTCAGTGAGCCGTGTGTTCCTGCCAAGACCCAAAGAAAAATGTCCTTTTCTGAGGTTTTGTTGGTTGCCTACTTTTAAACGTAATTTTCTAGATGCTGAACATCTTTTCTTTGTGTGAAAGAGCATGTCAATCCATTTTTACATCCTCATTAAGTTATAAATTCTCAAACTCAAGCATGTATCTGCAAAGTAGACTATAAAACCATTGACTAGAGAGGAGCACTTAGTAAAAGCAGGCCCATCTGGGATCTAATCCAAGGTCGAAATGGAAATCAAATTGTTAGGCTTATTTAGATAGAACATAGTTCAGCTGTACAGATTTTTGCATAGTCATAATACAAATCCTCTTTTGTGTATTACTAAGATAAATATGTGTATTTTAAAATTACTAATTTTTATTACATAAAACCCCACAAATGGAAGTTTTATTACATAAAACCCCACAAATAGAAGTAGGTTTAAAAACCTGAGCAGATAAAATGTCTTAATTGGTTTCTGTCTTCGTCTGGATGTTAGTGATACTAATTTTGTTGAAAATAGCATAAGAACTTAGCATTTCCTTTCTTCTGGACTTAAAATTTACCGTTTGTTAGTGTGTAATTTAGTGGCATTAAATATACTTACAGTGTTGTATAACCATCACCACTATTTCTGAAACTTCTTTATCATTTCAAACAGAAACTCTGTACCCAGTAAGCAGTAATTCCCACTCTCCCCTCCTCCAACCCCTGGTAGCTCTCTTCTTCTTTGTCTCTGTCTCCATGAATTTGCCTGCTCTAAGCATCTCAGATAAGTAGAATCATAAAATATGTATGCTTTTGTGTCTGGCTTATTTCACCTAGCATAATGTTCTCAAGGTTCGTTCATGTTTTAGCATGGATCAGAACGTCATTTGTTTTTATGAGTGAATAATATTGTGCCATACTTTTTTAAAAAGTTCTTTCACATTTATTAGTTCATTGGTCTTTGCAACAAGCTTCTGAGGTAGGCTACTGTAATGGTGACAAACCACATATTAAAGTTATAAATGCATTTGCAGTAATAATAATGGTTATCATTGAATAATCACTTACTCCATACGAGGCATTGTTCTAAGCACTTTACATTCATTCTCATCTAACCGTGACAACAGCCATACAAGTTAGGGACTATCATCTCCACGGAGGGAGAAGTAGAAACTAAGACCTCCAGAAGTACCTAGGTCTAATTTGCATGTAGTGGAAGCAAAAGGCCTGGAATTTTATCCAGATTCACCGGACTGCAAAGCCAGTGCTCTGAGCACAATGCATGCTGTTTCCTTACATGAAACTCCTTGCCACCCCTCTTTCCCAGTCCTCCTGGCACATTCTTTCTCATCTCAAGATTTCATTAAAGCCCCTGTGAAGTGTATTTGTGAAGTGTGGAATGACTGATCTGCTAAGGGGGAGAAGGAAAAAGGGAGGGGTCTGGGAAGAGCAGTAGCTGTGGAAACTGGTGAAGGACCTGGCTGGAGACAGAGGAAGGGATGGCTGAGTGGCCTGGAGGGCCACACTCACCCTGGAGACCTGCATTTGTAGTGGCCACAAACTACTCAGGGGTGTGCTTTCTGTCAGCTGTGCTCAGGGGCTGAACAGTGAAAACCCACGGGATCTATGCAGCCTCAGAAGATGCCCCCAGTCTCATTAATTTACAAAATAAATATTGCAAGCTTCTCGGGGGTCCCTGAACTCCCCTGTCTGGGTTTAAAGATTTTTGAAATCCTGCTTATATTTGACTTAGGAATTCTTTACGATAGACATTCTTCCTGTCAAACCTTATTTTGGGGATTCCCATTCACTCTAAATTTCCTCAAAACTTTGTAGTCAGGGATACTTCAAAGCTAAGAGGAGGTGCTCTTTCCAACACCCTTATCATTGTGGTCTGAGGACCCAGCAATCTCATGTTCCCATTAATCTTTTAGAAGCTGTGTGCCATATGTCCTGCAGACCATGGTTTACTTCCTACTCTGGAGGAAGATTTGTTTCAGACCCTCACCGACATCTCCTCAGTAATATCCCAGGGCATATAAATCACTGGGGAGCAAAGGGAGCTGTGTCCTCTGATGAAAGGAAGGAGCAGTCCTTCTGGAGGAGGGAGTTTGTCTTCCAGGAACCTTCCTCAGCCCTTGGTCTGTGCATTTCAAAGCTGACCTAACAAGCAAAATCAAAACACCATAAAACGCCCATTATGCTGCAAGGAAGAAAACTCCTTTAACTTTTTTCAGTCAAGCCCTCTGCTTCCGTTGTGTAGATAAGATAGTCTCATGTTGTAGAATTCTGAAATGGATTGCATGAGGAAATATGCACAGAGGAGTTGTATAATCTCACAGAGTATTCTTTGGACCAAGAGTTATTGAGAAGACCTGCTCACATGTAGGCTGCAGAATACTGATTGTAAAGTTGCTGCGTGCTTTTGGGGGTTGGATCCTTGGCTCACACCTGGTCAGAAGACATCTCACGGTTATTCAACCAGAGACCTGAAGGTGGCACCTGGTGCTCATACGCATGATTTGATAGTTGGTGGTAGGCTGACTTTAGGACAAAAACAGTCTTTAGGTGCTCAATAAATAAAGTCATAAAAGTAAGTTTACACCGATAATTTTAAGTCATAATTTTGATCCTACCAGGAAAATAGTTCAGACTCCTATCATAGTATATAGGATTTTAATTTCTGATACTCAGAAACTATTTTTGTCAGAATTAGGCAATGTTATTTTGAAAAAGTCAAAACAAGGAACAAATAAAACATAGTAGTTACCACTTAACTACCAACAACATTGAGAAGCCTGCTTCATTCATTCAGTCAACAAATACTGAGTTCCTAATGTATGCCAGACATTATAACTTGGTACTGGCACCATGTAAAATATACTGAACAAAAATGGAGCACAGCCCCTGCCCTCAAGTTTACATGTGGAGGAGATAGATAATAAGTAATCTCATGGGTAGTTGTATTATAAGCATTACGAGGAGCTATGCAGGAAAGGTACAGTTGTGCTATGTGGGTGTACAGCAGACAAGTTTGAGAGGTCAGGAAGGGTGTCTCTGATGGAGAGACCTTGTCTCTGTGTCTTCAAGGTGAACAGGCTCTCCCTAGACAAGAGAGTAGGGAATCTTTCTAGGTAGAAAGAGCAATATGTTTGAAGCTTCAGTGTTCAGAGGGCACGTGGTCCTTTTAGGGAACTAAATGCCAGTGCGGCTGTAGCACCAGATGACAGAGGGTAGGAGAGGGAGCTGGTGAGGCAATGAGAGACCAAACCTGGCAAGGCCCCGTGGGTCCTATCAAGGATTTTGGTTTTTATCTTATGAGTCATGGGAAGTCATTGCATTATGAAAAGTACTTGCTGAGCCATTGAACTGCAAAGAGTGAGTAGTTTGAACCCCAGAAAGTGAATTAAAATGATCCCTTTGCAGGTAAATTCCCTTCTGAAAAGATCCATTAAATTCTCATGATCTTTGACTCTTAACAGACGTTCATAGTCAGGTCATTGTCACTGCTGTTTCTTCGCAAATGGATTGTTTTGTAGGGAGGAGAGAATGATAGTCCTTCATGTTTCTACAGTTCTGTGCCATTTACCAAGTGTTTTCACAGGCACAGTCTCCATTATTTTATTCATTTGTTCAAAGTTTTACTGAGGACCTATCAGGTGCCAAGCCCTTTGCCCTAAATAAGGCATAATTCCTGCCTTCAAGGACTTGAGTAACCAATAAATGCAGTAAAGGGAAGATAAAACCTTTGATCACTGCAAAAATTCTAAGATAGGGTGATAATTTTTATGTTTATTTACTGATGAGAGATTTGAGGCTTAAAGAGGAATCAGCTAGGTGACTTACAACTAAGCAGGAGCAAGCTGGAGCCTAAATCTGCTCCCATGTGGTCCAGTCCTGTTTTTCCTACACCAGGCTCAGGCCACTTGTCTGTCCTCTGAAGTCTTGCCCTGGCTACAAATACTAGCTGCCTGAAAGTTCATCAAAGCACAGGTTAGAAGAGATTTTCTAATCTCCCCATTTACCTAATGCAAGAATCCCTTCCATGACATCTCACCCCAGAAGGCTCCCAGTGTAATAGTCATAACTTATCCAGTGGTGGCTATGAGAAATTTTCTCTTGTATCAATCTGAAAACTATTACTATTACTCTGTAGCATCCGTTCATTCATCTTTGTTTTGCCGTCTGGGACATCACAGACTGTTTATTTCCCCTCAAATACAGCAACGCTACAATTATTTGAAGGCAGCTCCAACATCTTTCCTAAGTGTTCCCTTATCCAGGCCAAACATTTCTGGTTCCTTGAATCATTCCTTCAGTAAATGCAATTTCCACACCCATCACCACAGTTACCCTATGTGAACACTCTAGCGTGTTATGTTCCCTTTTAAAAATCTGGCAGCCGGAATTACACACAGTATTCCAAATGTGGTCTAACCAGCTATTACCTCCCTATGCTTCCATTAATAAAGTAAAAGATTGAGTTAGCTTTTTATTAATGAGTTCAGACTGTTTGTTATAGTGAACTTGTGGTCAGCCACATCCCCCAGGTCTTTATCATATGACTTGCAATACAGTTGACTTTTTGAACCCAAAGACAGGACTTTACATTTATCCCAAGTAAATTAAGTCTTGTTGATATTGGCCTAGTCCGGCTTGTTGAAATCACTTTTTAAAAAATTGTAATGCTGTCATCTAACATATTAAGTATCCCTGGTAGCTTTATGTCATCCATAGATGTGGTGAGCGTGCATTCTACATGTTCGTCCAGGTCATTAATAAATATGTTGAACAGGACAAGTTCATGGTCGACATACTGCAGTGAATCACTAGACACTCCCTGAATGCATGGGGTCATTCAGCCAGACTCTACTCTCATCTAGTCCATGTTTCTTAAGTAAGAAAATGCATCTAAAATCACTTTTAAACTATACTGTATAAGATATTATCTACAAGAATATCAGAACATACTTTGTTAAATGCCTTGATGAACCA